GCGCCTCCATCCCCGCGCGGGCCACGCACCGGCCGCCTGGAGCGCTAGCCTGGCCAGGTCTGGCTTTGTCTGCGCCACGACGTGGACTTCGGGCCCCGCCGAGCTCAGGGGTCCCCGCGAGGGGAGCCCGACCCCAGATGCACTCCCGCGAGGTGAGGAGCAGCCGGAGCCTGTCGGGGCGCCCACACCCCCGTGCGCCCCAGCTGCCCCTCGGAGCGCCGGGGCACCGGCCTGGCGCGAGCGGAGCTGGGCGTTGGGGCGCCGCGTACCGGGCCGTGTGGACCCTCCGGTGCGCCGGGGAGCCCACCCCGCGGACGCACCTCTGGACCCGTGGAGAAGCTGCCCGCGCGGGCCGGCCCGGTGGGCTCCGTTTCTCACTCCGGCTTGCTGGTGAAGCGCCCCGAAGTCTTTCCCGAAAGCTTCCCCTAAATGCTTGAAAACTTTTGCGCCACCGCGAGCCTCTGCGGAGCGCCCTCCCGCCTGGCGCTGCCTCGGGTGCTGGGCAGCCTGGGTCCCCTCCGGCCTGCACTGCCGCGCCTGGCCCCTGCGCTGCCCCTCTGTAGTTGAGAGTGCTCTGGGGTCTGAGGCACTGCCTTGGGCCAGGCCGGCGCGGCCAGGCGGAGGGTGCAGGGCTGCAAGGCAAGGGGCTCAGTCTCCGTGGGCGACGCTGCAGACCCCGGCCCCCGAGCCATCTGGAGGCTGAGCGCCATCGTGTTTGAAGTGGTTGGGGGCTCTTTGTTCACCAGGCCTCTCTGGCTCGGGGCCTGGAGGTGGTTTACAGCTTTGATGCCTTTGAACCTATTCCCAGGTGACCTGGGCTCAATTAGGCCGGCCCTGAGCCGGGCTGTCAGGCGAGCAGTCGGATCAAGGCGGGCTGTGCCGGGCCTTTTTCTTAAAGTTGAACCCAAGGCCCGGAGCTCTTGGCCTCTTCCGCTTCTGGGGCACAGGGCTGGCTGTGGGGTGGGCCCGATGGGCTGTGAGCACCAGCGGCACAGGGCCTCTCTGGGGGACATTTTTCCCAAAGGTCCCTGAAGGAGGTAGTTGCGGCCCCCCTCCCGCAACTCCAGGCTCCATCCCTCTGCTCTGGGAAGGCCCATGGTTTATCCCACGCAGCAAACATGTTTCCTTGTCCCTTCTTTAAAATGTCCAAGCCCAAACTGAAAGAACAAAAGCGGGAGCAGCGGGCCGACAATCTTGTCTTCCTGTCTCGCTGGCTGGGGGCATTTTTTTCTGGGCCATACTGGACAGAGGGGGCCTGCTCCTCCCGCACTGCTCCTCCTCTGTCTGCTGGGCTTCGAGCTGGGGAGTTCCAGAACCCAGATGGTTCTGCAAGGCTTAAGTACAAGTGACATCTTTCTCTCTCCAGACGGAGACATTCACTAAGGAGCGGGACCTCCCCATAGCTGGCTCACGCCTTCCCTTTCTCTCTGTTTCTCCTGTGTGTTCTCCTTTGTCTGCCCCTCTCTGTCTGTCTGTATGTTTCTCTCTCTCCCACCTCCACCAGGCAGAGTGTGTAGCTCAGCTGGGAAGGAAAACCGCCCAGCCCAGAAGGCTGGTAGGTCCTGACTAACCCAGAACCCGGGCAGCCCTGAGGAGCTGAGCCCAGGGAACCCAGGCTGGGGGCTCCCCTTCGGCTGCAGGGATGGACACGGAGGACAGGGGCACCTGCTTCAGTGTTCTGGCTGAACTGGACCCTAAATGAAAAAGTAATCAATCTGGGAAATAATACTCTGGTGATGGATGGAGTTTGAATCGTTTCTTTCAAAATCAAGTCGTGGATAAGGCTAATAAAACTCACATATTAATAGCATGAGCCACAAAATATTTTTGTGTGTGAATATCCAGGGCTGGACCACCCAGACTCCCTCAGACTTGTAGGAAATATCTGCAGTGAGGGTTCGAGGAAGCAAATATAGTTCTCAGTATATTTATTCATTACTGAGTAGGAAAAGTCATGACAATGCTGCTTTTCATATATGTTTAAAAATGTGTTCTTTTTTTCCATGAGACTTTGTTTTCTAAAAAATGACCTGCTGTTCTCAAAGATTCCTCTATGGCCCGTTTTTCTGCTGGCCACAAGTGAGAGGGGCTCTGAGTTTTCACCGTGCACTTGATGGCAATTCTCTTGCTGTGGTCGAACGGGACGTTTCTGGCACCATCACCTCAGAATGGTCTTCAATACAGGGACTCGCTCAGACAGCTCCTGGGATTTATTGGGATAATAAAATATGTGCTTCGCAAACCTTCAGAGCCAGCGGAAGTTTATACATGCAAACGGCACTGCTGCTTGCCTGCGGATGCCCACACAGGTGCCTCCATCGTCCGGCCAGAGACCCCACCTCGGTTTGACCCCGTGACATTCTGTGTGGAGACAAACATCAGGTCTTTCTAAAGGCTCCGGTGCGCATCTCTCACAATTTGGTGCATTCCCGCTACTTGAATTTAGTGAATTTGCAAAGCTTGAGCAGAGGACAAAAGGCCACATTTGCGTGACGGAATCACTCCAACAGATGAATGCGTTGGTGATATTCACGGAGAGGTCGAGGGCACGTTCTTCTGCATTATTATTAGGAGCCGCCCTGTGCTGACACGGACTCCACGTCCACAAGCGCACTAGAAGAATTTTGGTGTCCTCATTTTATTTACTCTCTCTTGGAGATGACAGTGTATGTGGCCCATTATTCCTAGCAGCCCCAGATTCCAGAGATGGGCTCCTGAGAATTCTGTGACAAAGTTACAGCTCGTCTGGATAAATTGTAGGAGTCGTTGGCATCACTTTACTGAATGTTAGAAACATGTTGTAGGAGGAAAAAAACTGCTCTTGGACCGAACACCGTGGATTTGGTCTTTAGTAATGCTTTATGGCTCCTCACTGCCCCCTGCCACCTGGATTTCGGTCACCAAACAGCTTCCCTGGTGACGCAGCAGCTGGTAGGGTGGGGCATCTGAAAAATCATTATCTTCAGTCCTAAAACCCAGGGCTTAGGCATAAAGATGCTCTCAAAGCTCATAACAAAGTATAGCATAGTCCTGGTCATGATCCTCAAGCCCTTCTCTGGAAGTCACGTCCAAAGGCCAGTCATCTGCCTGACTTATAGCCGTAGCACCATTCGGAAAGAGCACACTTACACGGGCAAGGCTCCCCTTGAAGAAATCACCTGGACCAGGCGTGGTGGCACACACCTTGGGAGCCTGAGGCAGGAGCATCACTGCAAGTTCGAGGCCAGCCTGGGCTGCAGAGTAAGTCCAAGGCCAGGCTGAAGTGCAGAGTGAGACCCCGTCTTAGCACCCCCTCAAGAGAAAGAAACACTTGCCCTTGGAATGTAGAAGGACATGGGAAAACTGCGTGGTGAGTTCTGTCGCTGTGTGTCCACTGCAGCCACCACCACCATCCCAGCCTCCCTTCCATCCTTCTGCACCTTCGTCCTGAGTTACACAGATGGGAAGAGCAGTGTGACCACTCTCAGCACCCCCAGGCCTGGTCTGCAAGGTACTTCCTGGCCACGTAGAACGGAACTCAGGTGGGGATGTTTGCTTTCCCGGCAGCCCAGGCCCGGGCACCAGAGTCCAGGGGCATGGGAGAGCACAGCTTCCTGCAGAGAGGCTGGCAGGTGCATGGCTGGACAGCCAGCAGACACAGCAGCTCTTCCATCCTGGGTGGGTCTGGGAGCTCTGTCTTCCTGGTGCTAAAAGGTACGGGCCTCTGCTCCACGGTCAGGCTGGAGGTCCAGAGCCTGCTTACTCTCCACAAACGGTGCCCTTGTCTCTAACAAGTCACCTTCTGCAGAACTGGCCAGTGTGAGCTCTCCTCTCACGGAATCCTCATGCTCCCCGAGGTGCCTGCACCTGCACTGTGGCCTGCAGGGGGCGATGCTGGCACACCCCCGCCCCCCGCATAGCGCTGATTCTCCACATCACCAGCGGGGGCTTGCAGCAGGGGGTGAACAACGGCCTTCGCCACATGGTCATGAATACCTTTTAGAGTCAACCAGTTATTCTTCAAGAACCTCGCATGGTATTTTTTACTTGGAACGTACACTAAATTTCAATTCTAATAACAATGAAGAGATCAAGTCAGACATAAAGGAATGGGAGAAAGCATAGGGTGTAGGGAACTGGCATAGAAGCTAGCTTCCCTCAAGAAGTCTTAGGTTGTGGATTTGACTTGGAGTCATAGAAAGAGTTGACATCATTACAACAAAGCAGGTCAAAAGGAGAAAACAGAATCCTAAAACGTCAAAAGTGAGATCAAACCAACGTACCTAATTTTGTACCATATTAGTGACTCAGCCATGCAGCAGGAGTAATTATGGTAGCTCCAAAGCATGATCAGTTGTGTGTATGTTCCTAGTGAGATATGTCCCAAAGCAAAAAGAACGGAAAAAAAGACTTAAATGTTTCAATTTTCCTATTTCTGTTCATAAAATCGCCACTGTTCTTCTGATACTGTACTGTGAGCTCAAACAAGGATTACTTTCACATCTTTGAGAATCAAGATTTCCAACCTCAAAGAAAGGGGATACAAAGACAAAATGGAAGAAATTGTGAAATGTAATTCTAAAGTCATCGGCGTTATCAGCATGGGCCCAGGATGTATTTTTCCTTAAATGAGGTGTTCCTGGCCCTGATTCCTGAAAAGACCAAGGACTGTTGACCTGCCCTGTGGCAACGACATGCACTGTGCCAGCACCCGCCTCTGGTGATGCCGCACCCCATGGCGAGGACGGCTCCATGGCGACACGGCGCCCTTTGGCGATGATGCGCCCGAGGTGGTGATGTGCCCCATGGCGACGAACTCTCCTTCTGTGAACCCCAGAGCAGGTGGCTGACCTAAGGTCTCAAGCCCATGGCAGACAAGCCTGGAACTTATCAAGCCACCAGTGCCCACTGGTGGCCAGGTCAGAGGGACCACGAAAGACCCTGGCAGAGCGCCCACAGGCCAACTGGGCACGGTGGGCAGCCGCAGCAGAGCCTGCCATGGATGACAGTGTATCCAATGTGGTAAAATCCATGAGTTCACAATGTGAGTCAAATAACATCCTAACAGTCACTTTTGACTGCTGCTAGGAAATTGACTCATGATTCTGAGAACCGGCAAATAAAGGGAACAAGCCAAGCTCAGAGCCAGCCTTTTTTTTTAAATTTTATTTTA